TCCACACATCTTAAATGGCTGGCTAAGGAATTCTGGGAGTTGGTCCACACATCTTAAATGGCTGGCTAAGGAATTCTGGGAGTTGAAGTCCACACATCTTAAAGTGGCCAAGGTTGAGAAACACTGGCTTCAATTGATCCCTTCTCTGTTATAATTTAGCCAGGGAACAACCTACAATCTACTTCACGGAGCATTTATGACATTTCCTCCTCTTTTATTTTACTCTGTTCTGTCATGTTCTGGTTTTATTGTCTTGAATAGTTACTGTATATGTCTTTTTTTTTTTTTTACTGAGTAGATTTACCAGCTTTTTTCCTCATTGTTTGTTTTTATATTGCCATGGTTAGGTCACTGACAGTGTTTTGTAACGTTACTAAATGCAAAGCAAATCAGTATGTTATTATTATTAGATTTCTACCCCATCTTTATTCTGTCCATCGCAAGGCGGCGTACATAATGCTCCTATTTTCTCCACAACAATAACCCCGTGAGGTGGATTGGACAGAAACCTCTTAACAGTTTGAGCTGGTGAGAAGCATTTTGAAATTACTCACCTACCCCTGAATCACTTTCTGTGTTTTGTGGAGTTACTAATTAGTGAGAAAAATGCACTCTGCACATGTTCAGATGCACTCTTTTTTCTGTTTTTGCCTTCCGCATTCTTCCATCGCATGTGAAAAATACAAGAGATGAGCCAAAATTTATCACAGATGTCTCCTTCTGTTAAAGCAATTGAATTTGGAAAACTTGCCTGGTTTTTAAGATTTACCTCCAGCTTGAGCTCCTGAATGAAAGGTGGGATATACATGAAATATACAGACAAACACACACATATTTTGGGTAAGCTGACAGAGTGGGCCTCACCATCGCAGTAGGTGGGCATCCTCCTCTCTCTCTCTTTTGCAGCTTCCTACCCAACCTTTCTCGCTTGCCTGCTTCTTTACTGGTTTCTGTTCTACAGCTTGTGTTTGTAACTTTCAGTATTTGTATTGAATCAGTACTTTTGTTTAATCAGTACTTCGTGATTTTTGTAGCTGAGCACAGCTTGGATAGGAAAATGACTCATAAGGAGTTTTGTTTTTAAAAGACGAAATGAAATTCCAGTGGTGACTTTTCAGATGACCCATGCCATGCCACAATGAGCAAAGCAGGCAAAGCGGGATGTGTTTGGCCACAGGATTGTTTGCCATCAAACATTAGCAGACGTTAATGAGTTTTTACGTGATGCAAAGGGCCGGGTTAGGATTTAGTGAGTTCCTTTGTGCTTAAAGCACTGACATCTCAATTTCTGACCAGTTTAGCAAGCTGTCCAGAGATTTCCACAGCCCTTCAATCTGGTACCTTCCAGATGTCTTAGAACTTTAGAGTGATGGATATTGTAGTCCCAACAACTCTGAAGGGGATTATCTTCCAGAAAGGTATCATAGCCCATAGATTGATCCTAACTCTGTTGTCACGGGTTCTTTTTTTAAACCACACCCACATGAATTGACCCAGACTCAAGTGAGTCACAAAAGCACTGGAACCCGAAT